AAAGTACAACTGAGGGTTTGAAACCCTGGCACCAATGAGGTTAGTTGATATAGCCCCGTTTCACATTTCTGTTTTCTCCCTGGAACAGTGAGTGTGTTCAGGTTATGGTCAGTTTCAGGCCACTGTCAGATCACCCTTGAAAAGAGGAGGCCAAGGACAAAGAAACCCAATCAGGAAAAAAGTAAAAATAAAAACCTCTGACCATGTTAAACCTCTAAATATAGCTTTTCTACTTACTCCAGTGCAGCTAATTCTAAGATATATATTTCTGATTCTATTCATTCCATTTAAAAGAGAAAGACCACACCAGGGTAAGCAACGCAGGCTGGTCAGACACATAATCTAATGACAGTGTGTGAAGCCACTACAGAAGGCAGCAGGAGCACTGCCAGTCTGTGATGGGGCTGTGTGGCTGATTTCTATGCAGAGTCCACAGATATTTTCCAAGTATAGACAGCTTTTATTGAAATGAAAATAGAAAAAAAAATGCAAGACTAGAACCCACACCAAAAATTCAGCTTAGTAAAGACATGAAACTGCCCAYGAAAGGAGAAGGTATTTGGCTTCATTACTCATAACAGAGACAAGAATCTTCAGACTGAAATCTTTTTATGATTAGGTTAAAAGCCTATCAGTCTTTACAAAAGACTGTGTTGATGTGTTTCTTATGCATTTTCTTTCTAGTGCCTGAAACAATGCTCTTCTGAGCCACTGGATTTGTGAGCAATTATAAACTTGGAGAAAAGATGAAGAAATCAGTGGAGATCATTGAGAAAGGGGCAGCTAATGCAGTTATTCTGAAATTATAAAAACATAATTATAATAAGGTTTCCCTTATCCTCAGACTACTAAACAGACTGTCAAATTTTGAAACTACTGAAATAACCCAGGAGAAAATGCATTCAACTGACCTGATCTCAGTGAGTTAGTGTCCAGAAAATACCAGTTATAATAAATGATGATTTACCAAAAATCAGAAAGGATATAAGAGAAAAGCTACAGGTCAGGGGTGAGAATTTTTGTCTTTCTCATATATATTTTAATTCCATGGGCTCTCTGATTTTTCCTTCAGGGTCAGAAAATGGTAAAGATGGCTCTGTGTAGGACCACATTCAACCAATGTCTTATAAATGTCAGGGAGCCCAAAATAAAGCTTGAACAAGTCACACAGTCTTTGCTATCAATGCCCATGTTTGCCCATCTACACTTCAAAGTAAATAAGTTAGACACACCAGCATCTCTGTCAGTAGAACTTAGGCATCATTCTTAAAGTTGCCCAAGTCATTGCAATTATTAGCAAAGGTGGAGAACCCAGTTTGTTCCAATTCTTCTCTATTCAGTGCCCCCACTCCCACACCATGCCATGAACCTGYGTGGTGTCACCTTGCTGCATCCCTTACAAATATAGAATAAGGCAGGGCACAAACTCTGGAATAAAATCCAGCTGATTTTGAAGTGGTTCATAGGTACACCTGGAGACACTGAGCATTTATGATAATGAATGTCAAGAGTAGATTCTTAATACATTTCAGTATCATTTTCATTGCTTAGGAAATCTCACATTCCCTGGTATCTAATAATTGCACTTCTAAAGTTAATCACTCCACAGTTATCTGGAATTGGAAGGACTTGGGAGCTGTGAAAGATACTGGTTTCCTGGATCTGGGGAAAAAATAAAGGTGTTAATTTCATGTGTCAACTTGGCTGGGCTATGGTACTCAACTTATTGATTAAACAGCAGACTAGATGTTGGTGTGAAGGTATTTTTCAGATGTGACTAACATTTATATCTGTACACTTTGAGCAGATTACCCTCTGTAATGGGAGCTGAAGTCCTTGAGAGCAAAGACCAAGGATGTCCAAAGAAAAAACAATTCTGCCTGTAACATAGAAACCCTGTTTTGCTAGCCTGCTCTACAGATATAGATTCAAGACTACAGCATCAGCCCTTAGTAGAATCTTCAGCCTGCTGGTCTATCCTACAGTTTAGACTTGTCAACTCTCACAGTCTCGTCAGCCAATTTTCTCTTGCTTGCTCTCTTTCATGTACCTATGAAGGACATATTTAGAAAGGCTTATGTCTATCTGATCTATATCTCCTATTGGTTGATGACTAATATACCAGGGGACCTCAGAAGGGCTTCACATATCTGTCCTTGGAAGGATTGATTTCAGAAATTCTTCATCACGTATCAAAATGTGCAGATGCTCAAGTCCCTTTTAAAAATTGYATGGTATCTGCATATAACACGAACATCTTCCTGTGTCATCCCGAATACTTAACATCATCTCTACATTATGTGTAATACCTAAAGTAACATTAATGCTGTGTAAATTATTGAAATACTTTTTTGTTTAGGGAATAATGTCAAGAAAAATGTCTTTACGTGTTCAGTACAGATGCAATTATATATATATATATATATATATATATATATATATATATATATATATATATATTTGAGCCACATTTGGTTGATCCATGGATACAGAACCCTTTTTATAGAGGACTGACTTTATTTACTTTCAATCTGTCCCCTTCTTCTCTTTCCGTCTTTCCTGAGTGGGTTCAGAGCTCATTCCAGTTTACCCTCTGAGAGTTTGTCCTGCATTCTTCCCCTACAGTTCCTTAGATCACTTTAAGAYAATTAATTTAATGATAGAAACTAGTTTGGTAGTAGTATTTAGTAACAGATTTTTGTAATTTTCATGAATATGTGCTTCATGAATATCAATGTCATTTTATATGAACTACTGATGGTTTATATCTGAGTAGCACAATCATGATTTTAAATATCTATAAATGTGCATGGCTAAATTGAAAAAAAAAAAACCAAACAGCTTTTAAAATTTTTTTTTAGTTGTCCATGGACCTTTATTATTTATTTATTTATATGAGGTGCTGAGAATCAAACCCAGTGCCTCACATTTGCTAGGCAATCGCTCTGCCACTGAGCCACAACCCCAGCCCAATTTAACAGCTTTTGATACCTGAAGTCTGTCATCGTGAACTTCTGCACATGTTACTTGGACCCTAAAGTTTAAAAACTTTAAAGTTTATCAGCATTCTTACTTTTCTGTTTTCCCAGTGGGAATGTTAGGTAGAGTTTAGAGCCCCCATCTGCCACTAGTCACCAGAAGAATTAAAGGTAGGAATTTGAGAGACACAGAGATGTCACCCAGCATCTTTGGGTAACTTTGGTGTGTTTATCTTGTGAATATTCAAGGTACTCTGACTGCTTTTTTTTTTTTAACTTAAAAAAAAAAACAGAAGCGCATTTTGTTCTAAAATACATTCATTGGGTCATTTAAGGGAAAAACTGAAAATTTAATGCAGTTGATGAAATCTTTAGTGAATGGAATCCCAAAGGTACTAGGAGAAGGAAAAGATGATCACTTCCTTTGATAGTAGCAACTACTGTCACATGATAAAACAAGTAATTTAAAAATTCTAGTTGATTCTGAAGACCTTTGGAATTTGCTTCTTTACTCAGTATTTTCATCCTCCAATTTATTGACTTGTTTATTTATGTAATGGTATGAATATTAAATATATTATATTTTATTTTGAGTCTTAAAACAATTATTTAATACAGTTAAATTTTTAAAAATTTTAATAATAAATATTATACATATTGACTAAAACAGTATGGAGTGCTTCTTGGATTTTTTTTAATTAAAAATATGCTTTCTGTTATTTTGAGTAGTTTAAAAGGCAGTTTTTCAAAAATGTGCTTCTCTTTATCTCAGAATCTTTATAGATTTTTTCTGGCAATTCAGCAAAACTCTTAAAACTGAGCAAAATTAGGATTTTTGTGCTTCTATGTTTACAGAAAGAGCTGACAAACTTGATAACCTTAAAAAAAAAAAAGGAAAAAAAAGTGTTCTTATTTCAAAGGCTCAGAAAATAAAGGTTATTTACTATGCAGACCTAGACTTCTTGTTAAGTTGTTTTTGAGATAGTAAATTAGAAAAACATGGCCAGCGTTAGAGGTTACTCAATCACATTGAAGCTGGGACTTTTTATTCCAGCAGCTCCTGTTCCCCAAATTATATCTGATAATGTTCTAAAGTCTAAACATATTTTAGTTCAAAAAGTTACTCAGCTCTTAGATATAAAATGGCACAAAGCTTCCCTAAATCTACAGGTTTACCAACCCTCTTCGAATGTGGATGTATTCAGAGAGATCTGTCACTTAGTACTTCTGAATTGTAATATTTGAGGAACTGGAACTTTGAACTGGCATGTTTGCTTTCCTTTTCCCTGTGCATAATAACAGGATAGGAGCATTAATAAAGGGGTTGGTGCATTGGTCAATGAGAAGGCATGTTATTTTGGCAGAGTCATGGCAACAGAGCAAAGCTGAATGTGTGCAAGTGTAGCATAATTTCAGCTCATAGTATGTCAAATAGAAGACACTTCTCAGTAGACACAAGKAGTAAAATATCCAAAGCTCTTTGATATTATCTGCACTTGCAAACTAGAAATAGCATCTTCATTTCTCAACAATTTGAGAAATACTGGTGGTAAATCTTCCCCCAACCCAGCTTCACAAGTATTATTATCTACAAAACAATATGGCGCCTGTAGACCTAAAATTGGCAAAATCCACTGAACTGCATTTCAGAGAAAGGAGGGAACTTGAAATGGTAGTGCTCTGAGGATGTCCACGTGGGTGGGCAAGCATATGTTGCTATGAAGCAAAGGAAGTGGTACACCACAATTTCTTCATAAGTGMGAGGTCTTTATAAACTCATCCTCATGGGGGCTGTTTTAAATAGAAAGAAAATGACACAGTCCCCAACCAGGCTTCCTAACTGTTTGGGGAGGGTTGCCACTTTCCCAAAACATTAGGTTACTGTGGGGGAATTTTCCAAAATTGTCAACAATTCCATTTTTAAACTCAGTGCTTCCTCCCAACATAAGGCAGATGCAATGCAGCATGAACTATATTTGTTCTAGTTGAGATGTAGGTTATTTTTACTATGATGACTCCTACCTGACAGTGGAAGACATATTCTGGTGTGGTTTTCTTAAACTTCATGTTCCAAACCAAGGCCACTCCATCTGGTTCATGGGGAGCATCTTCATTATTGTTGTAAGAAGCGACCATCAGCTCAGGGTACTAAATGGAAGAGGTCACAAGAATCCATTAGGCTAAGATGACAACACAAGGGACACTTTCTCATCTCAACATATGCATGTTATGTTACATACTTCAAATGGTGCTTTATTTTTAATTTTTTTGGTGGCATATGTAATAACAGCCTACTGCCTCAATCTACTGCAATCTGGTTTCTGTACCCACTACTCTGCGTGTACTTGTATGGTTACCAATAACTACCAATGGCAAACACTGCTTGGTCTCTCTTATGCCTGACCCTTGGAGTTACTCCTTCTTTCTCCTATGTTGGCTTCTACTGCATTGCTTTCTTCTAATTTTCTTCTCTGACTACTATTTAAAAATCCCTATAAGTTCTCCTTTTGCTACATATATTCTAAAGGAGCTGCTCTTTGCCCCCGTCTATACATTCTCCCCAGGTTATCTCATCTAATCCAATAGCTTTAAAAACAGTATGCTGAGAGTTTTCAAAGCTATGTCTAGGGCTGATATCTCTCTGATCTCTGATCCTCATATTTGATTGCCACCTAGAGTTGGCTTAGGGCTGTCCATAAAGACATCAGATGCCACACATGGCAAAACAAGCTCATTGACTTCCACACAAAACCCACTGCTCTTGCAACGCTGATCTGGCCAGCTGGGCCAGATGTGCCAGATGTGCTATTTTAGTTTTCCTTTCCTTTCTCTCTCTTGAAGTGTGTCACTACTCCCTCCATACCTTTCTAATCCATGTTTTCTTCACATTCTTAAGGTCAGAGCCTCCTAAATTAATTTCTGGTCTGGGGAAGGCATTAGCTTCCTGAATGGTTCTCTGTATCCAGGCTTGCCAGGTCCTACCCTCATCTACAAACTCCACCCTTTGCAGGATGCCTTTACAAAATATATACTTGGCTAAGTCACCCTCAGCTTGGAATACCCTTAAGGGTTCATCACCACTTTCAAGGCAAAAATCCAAGTCATGTAGGATCCTTCACGATCTGACACTTCTTAGCTTCCCTGCTCAATCTCTTACAACCTTCCCTTACCACCCCACTGTATGACCCAGCCTCACCAGGCTGGTTTTGAAGCACACAGGTTTAGCTTCTATAACTACAGGTCTGATCTCACTCTCATGGGAAGACCTTGTCTATGCTGGTTACATCAAAAATTCATCCTTTAAGACTCAATGTAGGTGTCAAATCCTCCAGACAATCCTAACTAACCATCTGCCCTCTTCTTTCCCACTTGCCCCCACTCCCATTTTGATTCTGAAGCACTTCTCCTGCTGCATAATGATCTTCTCCCCACCATGTCTTTCACTAGATTGTAAGTTCTTTGAGCGCAAGGACTGGTTGTTATTGACATCTGAATCCACAGTCTAATAATTCCTAGCATATCATCAACCTGCACCAAAATCGGTTGAATGATTTTTCAGTTTTTATTTTAGTAACTGTGCTCAGCAGAAATATTTGACCTGTTGTTGTCAAACAATACCAATAATTAAAGGCTTATATGTGAGAAACACAACCAGTACAATAACAGGGAGAACGCTGCAGGGATGCTGGGTGTTGGAAACACCTACTCACCCTGCATGAACTCTGACTCTAAATAAATTTAGGATGAATCTCATCCTTAGGACACTTTTCAGGCAAATGCCATTCCTACCTGAGGCTCTCATGAGGTAGCCCCTTAAACATAGCATCAGGAGACTTTCAGATCATGTCACCTTTTTCTCATAGATGATTTAATTTTTTCCTTCCTTTTTACTCTGCTGTGTATATAAACAGAAGATTTCCCTTACACATTCAAACACTGTCTTTTTTCCCTATCAAAGATAACCAATCTAAGTCTTCTATGTGGCTTTGTTTCTTCTTTCAGTGGTCTCGACTTAAGAAAGCTGCAGAGAGTTACAACGTGCTGGGTACAGAGGAGGTGGTGGCACACATTGAGATCCATGGATGTGGCCACCAAGGGAAGTAATCACTCTTTATGAGAAAATGCTCCTTAGCAGAGGAATCAAAGCTGATTAAGCAAGGCCTTTGATTCAAAGCCCATTCTACGAAACTAACCTCCAGATAAACACAGAAGTCTCCAGACTGTCCATCTGAAGTTTAACTATGTCACATGTAAAAAGGCAACTCTATAAATACCGACACCACCACCACGGGGGCCGGGGAGCAGCCAGATGTGTCTGAAGTAATACCCCACAGCTTTCCATCTGGGTCTCATCGCTGGCACCCACTTGCAGCTTTTCTTTTTTCTATTTACATTATTTACCTTCAAACTCCTTTTAGAAAACTAGGAGTGCTTTAGTAAAATACTAGTGAGTGCCTTTGGCACAATTTCTGTAACTGGGATTACAAGGCCTAGGGGTAGTGACTGAAGTCTTATTTCACGCAAGGTTTTAATTTCAAAGTATCCTCTAACCTGTCTTTTCCTACTCTGTCTGAGCATGACTAGTCATTTCTTCTTGTTCACTGATAAAAAGTCTCTAAGCAATTATTTGCATTTAAATGTTGTTTAAAATGATGATTTTGAACAATTATGAAATTTATGGTCACTTAATTACTCAAAGGGCTGGATTATCTGATTTTTAATTTATGGGAATTTTACCTCAAAATTACCATGTACGTTGTCAAGCTTGGTTTGTTCTTAAAGAGAAATGAAATCTATCATTTCCTGGAAAGGAAGGAACCAGCATGTTTTAAGTGCCAGACACCAAGCTGGGTGATACGTGAGCCCCCTTGCCTCTTACATCCTTCTGAAGCAGACATGGTTTATTCGATTCCACAAAGGAGCCCAGGGTAAAAGTTGTTCCAAGTCATACTGCTAATAAGTGATCAGTGAGGACCCCTCTTGAAGTTCAGTGGGCTTCAAACATCACACCCTTCTTGTCCACTGTGGCAGGTGCCATCTATTCATACATAAATCACCGTGCCAGGTAAAATGTAGGACAAGAATATCCAAGAGGGACAACATGCTCTGCTTGGTAGGAACTCACCCTTGAGTAGAGGAAGGTAAGGCACAGGTATGAATAACTACAACCCCAGTATCAAAGCAGAGCATGCGCTAAGAGGAAGGCACTGTCATGGGGCTTCTGTAGAAGCACAGTGGGTGGAGCTGGGAGTAACCATGGCAGCGGGGAGGTGTGAGGTATATATCTGGGAGAGAAGCTGGAAGGGGCTTCAGAGATGAAATGAGACTTGAGTTGAACCTTGCCAGCTGCGTAGGTTACTAGGAGAGAAGAGGGAGGAGAATGTGGGCAAGAGTACAAAGACTGGCCCTGGAGATTCTTCCCTGGTGTCTGCCTGTTTCACAGCATTCTCCTTTGGGATTACCCCAATAATAGGAGTAATTTTCCTGGGATAATTAATTAATTATGGGGTAGATGCTTGACCAAGCTAAGCTAATCACCTTCTCTAAACCTAGATGTAACAAATTTTGAACTGAGATGAAATGCAAAACCTGTGGGCTAGTGAGTCAGGTTAATGAGAGTATCCCACAGGTGAGGTTCCTTGATCTGTCCAAATTTCTACTGAGTTGTGGTTCTGCATCCTTTCCAGAGATTCTCTAAATATTCCAGTGACTCTCCAATAAATTTCCCTGTTTACTTAAACTTGCCAAGAGTAAAGTGTTTTTTTTCCTTCTTTATCCTACTAGTGTGGAGAAGAAAATGTTCAGGGGACATCAGGTTGTAGGCTATGTGAAGAGGTGCAATAGAAGCAAGGGCAGGAAGTGCCTGGGGCATTATCTCAGAAGTCACTGAGTATTGGTGGACAGTTTTCTATTTTACTCTGGGAAATGGGGGCAAAGGAGTCACAGTCTGCAACTACTAACACCACTGCTGCTACTACACTCACTACTATGTCATGTTAATTGAGTACTTCTTTTGCACTAAACACACTTTTAAAATTCTCAGTCCTTTAGATATAGTAGTTCATTTAATACTTGGAACAAGACTGAGCTAAGTATTATCATGATTTCATGGATGAGAAAAATATTAGCCAAGGGAAGTTACACAATTTACCAAAGTGATATAGCATATAAAGGTAATCTTTACAMAGATTAATCTGATCAAAGTACTTATAATGACTCTACTGTGTAGAGTCTAGAAGTAGGGAGACCAATTTCTTTTTTTTTTTTGTACCAGGGATTGAACTCAGAGGTACTCGACCACTGAGCCACATCCCCAGCCCTATTTTGTATTTTATTTAGAGACAGGGTCTYACTGAGTTGCTTAGCATCTTGCCATTGCTGAGGCTGGCTTTGAACTCGTGATTCTCCTATCTCAGCCTCTAGAGCCACTGGGGTTACAGGTGTGCATCACTGTGCCTGGCTAAGGGAGACCAATTTTTAATATAAGAAAGAAGTAAAGGGATAGGCACAGGGGTGCCTGCCTATAATCCCAGATTCTCTGGAGGTTGAGGTGGGAGGACCTCAAGCTCAAAGCCAGCCTCAGCAATTTAGCAAGGCTCTAAGCAAATTAAGGAGACCCAGTCTCAAAGTGAAAAATAAAGAGGGCTGAGGATGTGGTGCCCCTGGGTCAATCTTTGGTATCAAAAAAAATAAAAAATAAATAAATAAAATTTAAAAAGGCTAAAAAGAAGAAGCAGAAAGAGTAATATAAAGTTCTTGTGAAATTCACATGGTAATAGAATATCACCAGGAATCTTTTGCCACTGTAAATCTGATTGGATTTAGCAACTGCATGAACTTTCAAAGATTACTCAGGTTTGTATCTTAGATGACTACAGGATTGGAAGATGCGATTTACATGTGACAGGAGTATGTATGGTGAAAGCAAGACCACAAGTCTACTTTTGTACACATCTGGAAAATCTGTGATGTGGTATTTGGATAGTACTATTGACCCATTGTGCTAAATAAAATTCAGTGAATGACAGAGTTGAAATAATTCCCCAAGTGCCCAAATTTCTTTGAGGCAATAATGTTCAGGTAATATTTTGCAAATATTGGAAAGTTAATGTGTTATTTTTAARAAGTCTGGGGGATTGAAGCAAAGCTATAAAGAACTTGAGTTTCTTTTTTCTATCCTCAGTTTAATTCTGTTCTATTCAGAAAACTATTCTAGGTGTATCTGCCACCATCAGGCCCTGAGACTGTTTCATCCTTTTCCCCTCCCTCCCTCCCTTCCTTCCTTCCTCCCTCCCTCCCTCCCTTCCTTCCTTTCTTCCTTCTTCCTTCCTTCCTTCCTTCCTTCCTTCCTTCCTTCCTTCCTTCCTTCCTTCCTTCCTTCCTCCCTTTCTTTCTTTGTTCCTTTCCCCCAGCCCTTCTCCTCCTCCTTCTCTTTCTACTTCTCCTCTTTTAAACCAGGGATTGAACCCAAGGCACTTAAACACTGAGCCATGTCCCCATCCCTTTTTACTTTTTATTTAGAGACAGGGCCTCATTAAGTTGCTTAGGGCCTCACTAAGTTGCTGAGGCTGGCTTTGAACTTGCGATCCTCCTGCCTCAGTTTCCTGCCAAGCTGCTGGGATTATAAGAGTGTGCCACTGCTCTCAGACTTTTCTTCTTTCTTAACATCATTGAGTTACATCTAGATCCACTTAGACCCTTATCCCATAAGCATGTATACCTGGTTGGTCCTTTGAATGCCATACAAGTGTTGTGAGGCAGGATCTGGGGGTTCCAATATTCCTTTTACTTAACCCTCTATAAAAAAAAAGAATGTAAACCTTTCTCACAGCATTGGTGGGTAGGTTACACAGAAACAAGACAAAAATAAATGTAGTCTCTCCATGATGGAGTTTTTTTCCCTTTTCAGTTTTACTTTCTCCAATACAAAAATTATACATGACCCTGTGTAGAAACAAACCCATGGGCAACGGATCCCTTCACACACTGAGGCAGGGYAGGGACCAGCCTCACTGTTGCTGGCACCGACATCCCCAGGGAGCATCATCAGCAGTCCAGGAACATGCTAGCAGTTACCTTTGCTGAGCAACATGTCAGATAAGGTTCTTGTGTGATTTCTAAACCCTGAATAAGTGAACAAGTCAAGCTAAGTGTTTTCTCGGGTGTGGATCCCATGCCTGTGCATACGCACACCCCACGCATGATCTGTGAGCAGACTGACACACAGAGGCAGAAGGAGGTTGGGCAAACCCTGCTTGTCTTAATYTTTGCACGATCACACTCTGGATGCTTTGCTGTTTGGAAGTAAAAGGGGATTCAAAAGGAGGGAGCCCTCACTTACTTGCTGACTGATGACAGTCACATTGTAGGGATCAAACTCCTTTCAGTTCTCCAAAAGGATCAAGCTTTTACTTTTGGAGAACTGAAAGGAGTTTGATCCCTACAATGTGACTGTCATCAGTCACATTGTGGGGATCAAAATCCCTTTTATTCTTCTGCCTAGATCACATGCCCCATCCCCAATCTCCATTTGCCTCATTCCCAGACTTCCAAGAAGCCCTGCCTGATCAGAGAGAGAGCCCAACCTCAACTGAACTCTGAACATACCTGCTACCCACATCTTCAGCATCTACAAGATCTCTTGGTTTCAGATATAGAGGAAACCCTTTGCAGGGATAAGTGGTTGAATATATATGCCTTAGCATTGTGAAAAGCTTGTGTTTAAACCCCAATTCTACTTCTTCATAGCTGAGTGAGCTTCAGCAAGTTACTCGGTTTTGCTGAGGCATCTTTTCTTCAACTGTAACATGAAAATATTAATAAAGATTGCCTCCTATGATTATTATAAGGGGAAAATAAGATAAAGCCTTCAGAGCAGTTTTTGCAGTGCTTAGCATCTAAGACACACAAATTGCAAGGTAGCTGATTGTTGCTTCCAATCAAAGCATAGCCTACAAGAAAGCAGAAATTGTGCTGCATGTGAAAGCCTGGGCCTAATCATTCTGCTTCCCTCACTACTATGGTGTCATGTGTTGTTGAGAACATGAGCTCAGGGATCAGATCACTGGATTCAAATTCTGACCTCACCACAGCAAGGCTCAGTGCCTTTGTGTACATTACTTATCTGCTCAATCCTGGGTACAGTGCTTTGTATGTTGCCCCCTGGGTGAATTGCACATTCACCATATCAACTTTTGGTACATTTGTCTGCTTTCATTTTAAATGCCACACTATGCGTTTAGACTTTCTTTCTACAGCCATGGAGGAGATTTAATCTAGGGGCTAAAGTGAGTAGATTTTAGTTTTAGAAATATCACTTGGCAAAGGGCAGGAGAATAGGGATGGGGACATGGGGGTAGGTAAGATGGTGGAGTGAAATGAACATCATTATCCTAGGTGCATATATGATTGCACAAATGGTGTGACTCTAAATCGTGTACCACCAGAGAAATGAAAGGTTGTGCTCCATTTGTGCACAATGAAATGAAATACATTCTGCTGTCATGTGTAATTAACTAGGAAAAAAAAGAAATATCATTTGGTGAGATATCTGGAAGGAACACTGTGAGTGGATAAGAATAGAGGTAGGAAATAGGGTTAGTATATAGGTGACTGTATGACCAATGTGATTCTGCAACCTGTACAATCAGAAAAATGAGAAATTATATCCCATTTGATTCAAATGTATGAAATGTCAAGATCATTGTATTGTCATGTGTAACTAAAAAAATAAAAAAATAGTACAGGTGTAAGATGATGAATATCTGAGTGGGAAAATGAAGAATCTAGAAGACAGACTGGTCTGAATGACAAAGGAGAGGAGTCTGTAGTGTTGATGAAAGTGGGTATACAGTAATGCCCTTTAACACAGAGATAATATACAAGGCAAAAATGGATTTCAGAAATATGGGAATAATGAGTTAATACTAAGTTTAAAGTTCAATGGGACACCTGAGTGGTTCTATCTGATGGATAAAGTGGAATTCAGGAGGGGGATTGGGTGGGACATTATACTGTGGTTGAGTCTATTGCAGTGGAAAAGACCTCTCCAGACAGCAGGTGGAGAAGAAGGGTAGAGGCTGAGCGTGTGTGCAAAGAAGTCTTGAAGAAGGTGGAGAGCTAGAAGACAGGAGAATTGAGCAAAGAGAAATCGATGGAGGGAGGTTGTTTCTGTAAGTACAGGGAAGTCTGCTCAGCTGTTTGACAGAGAGATGTTAAAGCAGAATGAAAGCTTACGAATATCCACAGGATTTGAAAAGTAGGAAATCAGTGGTGACCTTCATGAAAGCAGTTTCATGGTCCGGCTCCTGTGTGTGTGACTACTCAATACATACAAATAACTAAATGGAGAATGAAAAATGAAAACCTCAGTAAAGTGAGAAACAAACAGGCATAGAGAAAATTGTAGATTGGCAAACATACCCAAAACACAGGAATAAACCTCTCCTACTTTTTATACAAATACCATGAGTAGGTACAAGCCCAGGTTGTCCATGCCAGCAACAATTCTTACCTGAAGAGACCAGTCCATACAAGTGACCACTCGATGCTTGGACCAATGCTCATCGTAGAACTGACGATTAAAAGATAGATTGGCTCCAGCCTGAACATCCCTAGAAGGGTTTAAACAATGGAGGTAAATGGGATGCTTCAGAACGGAGCTTCATTTCTACCCAACTCATAGTAAAACAGTGAAGACATGTCATAGGCAAAGCACGTAAATATTCTCTGAAGCCCAAATACCAATCTAGACCACAAACTCTGATCATAAACAAATGAACTGAACATGGTCTCCTTTCTGAAAAGCTCTTTCCAATCCAGCCCACACATTGTTTTAACCCTCATATGAGATGTCAAATTTGTTTCAGGTTTCCATCTTGACCAGTCCTGAAGTATTTTCCTGTCCCTAAGTGGTTCTAGCCAGAAGCAAGGTTTATTAGAAATCTTGCTATTAAGGGAGCATAGCCCAGAAGGAAATTCTTTGATATCAATACCATCTTATCTATCATTAGCTTAGAAAGGATATGCATGTTTTATCTTCCTAGAAACCCCAACTGGCTTTGCTAACTTCCTTCTTGCTCAATAGTTATAATTTCTGGCAGGAGGCAGGCATGGTGGAGAATGGAGGATTCACCAGATGTGTTCAGATGCTTACTATTCCTGCCATGGACCCAAACAGCATTTAGGTCTGGAAGGATTGCACTTTGGCCAGTGTTTACTTGGCTGACAGACAACTGGCCCTAACACCTCCTTTGAAGAACCCTGTGCTACTCATACAGTTGCTCCACAAGGCTGAAAACTTAAATCAAGTAATGCCTGTTCTGCACCAGCAGCTACCAGATCTGCACAAGAAGCTGCCTAAGTTGCATGAGTTTTGATTCAGAAATTCTCTTACATTCACCTTTCTTCCATTTATCCGCCCCCCCCCTTTGGACTGCACCTTGCATTGTTTATCCTAGATAGTGCTTGCTCAGTCTGGGTGACCTGGCTCCAGACCACTTATCTGGGCTCTAACTGGTTGACCTATAATGATGTTTAATTTCCCTGGGAACCCTTCCTCAGCTCCACCACTGCACACTCAGGAAAGAGGTGCCTTCATCAGGTCCTTCCAGGAAACCAACATAATGCTTGTAGGAACTTGGAGGAATAGGACAAACAAAATCAACTGAGCCATAAATAATGGCTTTTTTATTATAAATAATAATAATTGTATAAAATATTATTGTCTCATCAAAGTAACCTAAAGATGCTTCCAGCTATTAGGAACATTCTCAGAATTCCCTTTTGAAATTGTTCTCTGAAACTTTGCTACATTTTTTTGAGCATCCTCAATGATGGTATGATGTTGTCCTTTAAGAATGCATTTGAAATTAGAAATAGTGAAAAATCACATCTGATAAAAAAGGCAAGTAAGCCTACTTTCACATATTGTTTTTAGATAAAAGAAATCTTCAGCTTAGGAAAAAAAGCAGCTGTATCTATTTTTTTTTTTTTTTGAGATCAGGAATTGAACTCAAGGATGCTTAACCACTGAGCTACATCCCCAGCCTTTTTTATTTAGAGACAAGCTTTTGCTAAGTTGCTTAGGGCCTCACTAAGTTGCTGAGGCTGGCTTTGAACTTGTGACCCTATGTCTATTTCTTATAAGGCTTATAATGTGTTTCCTGTTATCCTATAATGACAGTTGACAGCCACTACATTTTCTAACACATACACTACATAACAGAGAAAGGCATTTGGGGCCTCTTGCTTTTATTGATTAGTTGTTGTGGTGGTTGTTCATTTTTATCTGTAAATACCTCCTTGTCATATGTGTTTCTAAAAGTGCACAAACATATGCATCATCTTACAGGACCAAAAAGAAGAAAAATTTTCCAGTACCTTTATTGTCTCCCACATCAGTTAAGTCCTTTTATATCTCATGTTTATGTTCTTCAGCTTCCTGTTTGCTTAGATATCAAGAAATAGATCTAGTAGATACAATACAAATCTCCTTTTGCCAATCATAAGAATGTTTTCTTACAGTACAATGTATGTGACTCTGCCTGTCTCTTTCACCTGACTGTTCTCAAGATGCCAAGTTTAAAAACATTTTACAGAGGCACATGATAATTACAGGGAAACTTTAAGACAGAAGTTTATAATCAAAGCTCATAGTCAAAGCTGTTCAGCAAGATCAGTCCTGGAATTTCACCCACCTCTGATTTTTTATATATGGAGTTGCCTAGTCAATACATAAGTGGATTTAAAATCAACCGACAAAGCTAGGCATGGAAGTGCACGCCTGTAGTCCCAACACATGGGAGACTGAGACAGGAGGATTCTTGAGCCCAGGAGTTCCATTCTAGCCTACATGAAATAGTAATGCCCTGCCTTTTTTTTTTTTTTTTTTTTTTTTTGGTACTGGGGATTGAACTCAGGGGCACTTGACCACTGAGCCATATCCCCAGCCCTATTTTGTATTTTATTTAGAGACAGGGCCTATCTGAGTTGCTTAGAGCTTCACTGTTGGCTGAGGCTGGCTTTGAACTCATGATCCTCCTGCCTCAACCTCCCTAGCTGCTGGGATTACAGGGATGCACCACTGCACCCAGAAAGGCCCTGCCTCTTAAAACAGCAACATTGAAAACAGCAAAATCCCCAGCTCAACAAATAACAGAACACACTCTATTTTAAAAATGCACACAAGAGACTAACCCATCTTTTTCTTCTAACTCTCGACCACTGTAGTCAAAAAAGATGTCAGAGTCTTCAGCCAAGGCTCTTTCAATGACCCGTATTGTTCGATCAAAAAAGATGAGGAATTCCTCTGAATGCAGGATCTGCTGCTTTTCTTCCTCTGTCAGCTCCCTTGGAGGGGCTTTTTGTGTAAAAGAGATGATTAGGAAAGAAAAAAAGGACAATTAAAAGATTTTCCAGAGAAATCCAACTTTTGAAAGAGACTGCTCATCAGGGAGTAGTAAGACACAGTGAAATGAACCATTGTTAATATGAATTCTAGATCATTCTTAAATTCACAGCAAAGGCTTTTGCAGAAATTCCCACAAAAAGATTTCATCTCTGGCCTAATTACTGTTTTGAAGAATTGAAAATGATTACAAATGAGAACAGATTAGCATGTTTTTAACAATCGGTTCTAAATGTTATTTTCTTTGGAAATGAATTTGAAAAACAGCTCAAGTATAGCATGAAAGAAATTTATAAAACTATATATATTAGATACTATTATAAAGCCACACATATTAAATAATTAGGAACCATCTATCGTTACGATCCAGACTATAACTTTCCTCTTTCTACTGGGTGAACTCACTTTCTTTTGCATAGCTTGTTACTAAAGCAAACATTGTTACACAGCTCTGTTTAAAGCTGAAACATCTCTTTCCAAACCTGTTGTCACCCAAGATATCTTCTGCCTTTAAATATGGAGCAAATAAACACTTCTATAAAACACCCACAATTGTTTTTATTCCTGTTGTTTTTAGCATGATTAATTTTATTAAGCTAAATTTGAAGATAAAAAAATGAGCCAGAGAAATGACATAGCTAGCGGTATGTCACAGGGTCTGAAAATTAGCTCACCTCAGAGTCACAAGTATGGTTATATAAACCATTTATTGGTGGCAGGTTTTGCATAAAACTGTAGGGAATGGATTAGGAACTCTCCCAGACTGAAAAACCCTCAAGGGCAGATACTGTCAGCCCAAACTTCAGAGTGGCTCAGGAACCCCACCTCAGGGCTCTAGGAGAGAAGCTTCATTGAACTCTGGTTACTCCTCAGTAGCATGGAAGTTCCTGAAGCTTATTTTACAGGAGGGGCAGGCATTAAAATCATTTTTCAAGCTAACTATTACTGAATTTTTAACTATGAAAATCATGCTGATATACACATTTAAAATAAATTATAACAGATGAAGGAAAAAAAATCACAGTTGGGCTCCAAGGTAGAATCTAATCCCTTCAGAGTTACCCAAACACATCCACAGTCACACCCTACTCACTCCACCACCACCAATAACCAGGACCAGTTTCTACCTGGTTGTCAGAGGATTCTGTTAAGTACAGTCACTGGCAGCATAATATTTTATAGAGGTGCTGATTTGACTATTGGTTTTTCAAAGCCCCAGTCCTAAGGAATCTGAATGCTAAAGAAGCCCTTTTGCACTGATATGGCAGTGATCTCTATCTTTAATGTTCATGACATCTTTCTTCTTTTAGCTTCTTCATCTCTGCCAGACAGCATGACAAAGGGAATCTGGAGGGAACTGAGAATCTGGTTTTTCAAGAAACTAGAATTATCCTGATGTAGTTTGGTTCACAGTTTAAGAAATGCTGTCCAGATAGTATCATGGCAAAACATGATTCCTCAGCTACACCAGAGACCTCCAAAGAAAATCCACTCCATAGTTTTTAGCAGTCCTAGACAGAAATAATTTCCCATGTATATTGGGACTGTCCAAAATCCCCATTAACTTTTGCTGTGTAGTGCTGCCCAGAGATCAGTTTAAGAATGGTGACATTGGCTAGGAGTTGGGGGAATCTGTGGAGGCTATTAATAACATAAAGAATTCTACAAAACCAAGCTAGAACCAAACATCTACTCTGCCATTTGCTAGCTTTCATTCTTTAATCCGTAAATTGAAGCTCTCTGGGCAGCTGTTTTATCTGTACAATGGGGATAGAATGATACCTAAACTTTAATTCTGGCTGGTTTAAGGGTTAAAGATAAATATTCTGGGAAACAGTTATGCTTTCAATAACTAGTAATCAAGCAGTAACTTACTAGTCTATTTCCTTAAACCCCTTTGAGGCATTTAAATTATCTCCACAATACCATTAAACTACTAAATGTAACATAGCAAAAGGGGGGAAATACCCTACAAAATGCTCTGTTCAATTTGTTGGCTCATTCTATTAAACAAATAAAGAAGTGTCACTAAACAAGGATAGGATGGGCCAAGAAGAGGGTCCTATTTAGAAAGATTCACTCAGTATTGGCCACTCTTAATGGATGACTTGAGATACACTTGATATAAGCAAAGATATAGGAACTTTCCCCTTCCATTCCTTTTTTTGTGATATAAAAAAATCTTTCCAGTCTCTGTTTATCTTTTTGAGCCACTTCTATTTCACCTGGATCTTTCCTTATGGGTCCATTACCTTGAATAAAAAAATAGCATCTGTGTAATTTTCTGTAATTTTTCTTTCCTGTAGCTTATTGTCACTTTGATCTCAGCTTTCAAGACATACAACCTCTCCTCTAAGAGAAACATAAATGGCTGATCAAAGTGTACTCGCAGAGGCCAAGCTCAGGTAGCTGAAGCAGTAGCCTCTCCAGATAGTGTGCTTGACAATACAATATTTGGCCTGAAATTAAATTCCTACTGAAGCAAAACAAAGGATATACTTTATATTAAGCTTTGATGTCTGAAAGAGATCAACTGACATTTATTTTGTACAAAATAATAATATGCATGTGCAGATGAGTACTCTTTAAAAGTCATAAACAATGTTCAACTTATGAATTCAATAGGGCCATAGTCATTTTTGATGAAAAACCTCCCATTACTTCCAAATCTTTAAATTGTTAAGTATTATTACAATATAATGAAAACATAATGAAGTATCCAGGAATTACAACTAAAAGGTGCATTCAAAAAACAAACCTCTCTAGGCATTAAAAAAAAAAATCTGCAAAGTGCAAAATACAGGCATAGACAAAAAGAATAAATTATTTTACTCAGGATGGACCCCAAATTCACCCTGAAATATCTGTTTCTTCAACTTTTCCCTATCCCTGAAACCTAATTAATTATTTTCAACAAGCTCACCTTATGAAAAGGTAGAAATTAATTTAATAGCAAAAGGCATACCAGAACAAAACATGGGCATATATTTTACTTTTCTTATAATTTAAGCAGAAAGTGCTATTATAACAGGGTTTGTTTGTTTGTTTGATTTTACAACCCAAACATGGAATATTTCTTTCAAGATCTGATAGTTAACAATACTTCACGCATTTAAAGTGCCTATAAAGGGCTGGGGATGTGGCTCAAGCGGTAGCATGCTCGCCTGGCATGCGTGCGGCCCGGGTTCACATAAAATTCTCTCTCTCTCTCTCTCTCTCTCTCTCTCTCTCTCTCTCTCTCTCTTTAAAAAAATAAAGTGCCTATAAAAATTCTTTATGAAAAATAGAATATATAGATATGACTTAAATATAATCCAAATGACTAAATAATTTTCAAATGTGTGCTTTGTCACACATTTTCTTTAATTATTCCTACCTACTATATTCCATGTCTTTTCTAGGGTTCTTGGAATTTTTTCTCTATAAAAATATAAAGTTAATAATGAAATTCACAGCTTATATTGAATACTTTAATATCTCATTTTTAGGTTAAGTGGGGGGGGATCTCATGACAATAGAAGGGAGAACAATGGAGTAAGAAGGATGTGAAAGGGGAGGAACAGCAGAGTGAAATTAACCAGGCTGTGTTTTGTATGAGCATATCACAAACGAATTCCACATTTATGTATAACCACAATGCACTCATTTTTAAAGCCAATTTTAAAAAGTTATTTTTGAACTATCTACTTCAGAAATGTCTTACTTTGTTTCAATGACATAGCATTACATTTCAATATAAAAGGTTACATTTAAAAACATTTTTTCAGAATATCTAAAAGATAAAAAATAAATAAATAAACCCAGGAAAATCATCAGATTAAATAGAAACAGTGGCTCTAATGGGAATTTTACAATAAAACCAGTTCATAAACATCAGCAAGGAAATCAAACTAATGAGGAAGGGCATCCTTCTCTGAAGTTGATGTGCAATTTATGAGTTAATTTGTATTTATAAGAGTCAGGCTTTGGATTCTGCTGTTCCGAAACTCTGAACATCCATGAAGATGCCAGACACTAACATGTCGAAATTTCCTAAATGTTGATGAAAAGCTAAAATGTACCTACAGTTTTTTTTCCTACTCTATGTGATAACGGTAGTAAATCAAACTACATTTCTTTACTGTTTAATGCATTTTGATATTACATGGGCAAAAATATCAAAAGCTAGTGAGCACTTAGTTTTGCCACATCCCTCTCACCACTTTTTAAAATCTTCCTTCCAAAATAAAAAGCCAAATGGATCTCTCAAAATTGCATTCCCTGGTTTGAAACTGTGTATGTCAAGTTTCAGCCCAGAGCAAATTTTTATGGCTGAATAATAAATCCTGAAACACAGGGTTCATATTGGAAGTGCTGACACAGCTCTGACTACCATGCAGTCGTGCAAATGGCGCCATGATTATATCTGCAAGAGATTCTTTTAAAAGTTTGCAAAATACTGTTCTGCTTAAAAAAAAAAAGCCAGATAGTTTGATGCCAACATAAACATGCTTTTAACCCATTATGTGCTAATTTGCAGAAAAGCCATTAATGGAGAATAAGGCACACAGCACAGCAGTAACAGGAAATGTCCTTACAAACTTCTTTTTGACTTTTAACATGACTTTAATCAATTCCATGAAGCATGAGTAACAGTTAAAACTGAAGGGTGTTTTTGCTTRGAACTTAAGAAGGAGGTTGCTTTGCCTTGCCAGGGAAGATGATTTGGAGATTGGGTTTGGAGTAGGGGTGGGGGTGAGGGGGTGGGGAATCCATGCCAAGACCCACAAAAACTGCTCTGGCTCCTTATCATCCAGTATGTTTTAAGCGTATTTTGCAAAAGGAAAAAGAATACGTTTTAATAGATCCTGACTTATTTTGTTCTTTGCTATACCTGTGATAATAATATTCTATTCCTCRGCCTTTTAAAAAAGATGTTTTTAGTAGAAGTTTAAATGTGAAATCTCTTCCATCAAATCCACTTAGAATGTCTCAGAAAAAGTAACTGTGGTGCTCTCTGTAGATGCTATTGTTAAAATTGCTCAATCTTCTTCATGCCCTCAGTCACACCCCATAACTTGAGTATACCTCCTTGATACCTGGGACTAAGCACAGGAATTGGAGACTTAATAATAGTTCTACAAAAGGTAGAAAGGACTTTGCATTTATTTCACAAGGGCCCAGGTAACCAGGCTCCCATTGCAAAGCTATAGACTATGACAAAGTTGTACACAGAGAACTGGATTCAAGAGGAAATCCCATCAGGGGTACAGCCCAGTTTTAGACGCAGGAACTACAGGATAAGATTGCTAATGATAATTTGGCAAACTTCTTTATAGCATTTATTTTGTGCGAAATTGTTTCATACTAGCCCCTTTAAACCTCATAAAATATCTTAGGAGGTAGATATTATTTCTGCTTGCCAGATGGAGAAACTGAAGTCAAGAGAAGTTAAGCTAAATAAGTTAGTGGTGATCATATAGCTAATAAGTGGCAGAGCCAACACTTGATCCTGGGGATATAGGTTCCAGACTCCACCCCCCCATCACTATCCTGCATTGGCTTTTTAGATAACTGAAACTGCATAAAAYGCATATAAAAAATTAAACACATACACATACAACTTCAAATGATTTTGAATATGACGAGATTTATAACAATTAAAATTTGTTTCATTAAACTCCATATGATATTTAAGCAAAAATCTGAATGTAAGGGGATGTGATCTGCAATAGGTACGCAGGCAGGCTACACAAATTTTCTAGCCCAAGGGATTGAAGGAAGTGCGTGGATCATTATGCATGTATTCCTACAGAAGTTCCCAGTGCTGACTATGCTCCATGCTCCACAGGCTCTGTCAGAATCAGGGCCACCTTTAAAATTTACAAATCAAATGAGGTTTTAGAATTATATTGTTCGGTATTTGAGAAACTCGGTTGTGAATATGGAATGATCTTTTGACCTACATTCAATTCTCAGGTATCACTGTCCATCAGTCAGCAAGAATGACAATTTCAAAATTCTCTTCAGTCTCCATGGACTAAGAGTTTGAAAATAATAAAAAAATTGGATTTGTAAGGAAATGCTATGAGAATGGCATTGTGGTAAAATGGATCAGCTCTCAATCTTGGCTCAAGCACTTATAAATTGTGTATCCTTGGGTAAGTTTTTAAGCCACTGGCTTCTTAGTTCTCTATCTATAAAATAAGAATAATAACAGGACATGCTTCAAAGGTTGTTTGGCGGAGTAGATAGTGTAAGATCCTTGGTTAGCATCTGGATGGCCATCTTAAGTGATAGCCCATCTTAAGAAAAAGTTTCACTTTCCTGCTCAAGGGTGTTTCTGAGAAAGGCTCACTACTCCAACATACCAACCCCACCCTTAACCACCTGCATTAGGACCCGCCTAGCTCTAATCCCTGAGCCTGCCCCATAAAAGTCAGGAAAGCCCAAACCTGTGTTGCCTCTCTCCATCTATGGAGAGATGGCCTTTATTTGTCAGCTCTGACAAATAAACTCTCCTGTGTATCTCTGTCTGGTCTCCTCTTTCCTTTCTTGCTCGCCCATCTCTGGTTCCTCACTTTCCTTTCAGATAGTATTTGTAGACTGCTTAGAAGAGAGCCAAGTATATCATAAATCCTTAATAAATGTTAAATTACTATTCTTACTGGAGAGTGAGTATGTAAGAGGTTCTTTCCCTCATCTAGGCAGAGTTGTGGAAAAAAACCCTTTTAATAGTACAGTTAATAGTAATGGCCCCTATTAATGTTTCCACGTAGAATACAAGAAAAAAAAGTCAGAATTTTATTGATAAGATAATTATATCTGCTCCTTTTCTTTACTGTTATCATTGAGAATATATGGTAGAGTGAACTTTGTAACATGAAAATTGATACTGTATCTTATTTTATTGATAGTAATAATTTTACTAGAATTGCAAGTGATTTCCATTTTATTTGCTTCTACCAATCAAATAATTAAGACTTGCTTTGGCGATTACAGTTTGTGTTGATAAATGTAATATATTGACTAATTGAAGAAATTCTTTCATGTGGGGATAGAAATTTAATTTTTATTTACCTTTATCATCCCTTACATTAAGAGAAAACAAAACAATAAAATAATTACTCAATCTCCCACATCATACCTTCCTTCACTTCCTGCTTTTTGTCTTGATTTTCCAGCTCTGAATCATGGCCAACTTTGGGTTCCACCATTTCCTCATCTTCCTCATCCTCTAGAAAAAAGAAAGAGAAGAATGGAATAATTTCTTCAAAGTCATTGGTTGATGGTGGGAGGTAGGGCTAAAGGGTAAAGTTCCAATCATTTAGGGCAACTTCTAAGTCAGTCAGTCCACAGTCAATGCCCAAGATGAATGTTCATGAATACATGAATAAATTATCTCCCAAAGAGGCTTCTTTGAAGGTCTCCCCAAGCTGCTGAGAAAACCGCCCCAGGTGGGCACCTGCTCCCTTCCTCTCCAGGCCCTCACCATGTGGGACGTCTTGGAATTGCCTCCCTGACCTCTGAAGCTTCTTCAGAGATGGCCCAGGAACAGATCTGAAAATGTTTCCACCTGGAGCATTTTCTCCAAGGGGGACACCTGCTGTGCAGATGACTCATTTCCAATTGAATTCTCACCAAATTAATTTGTTTTTGACCTACAGGAAAGGGTTAAATACAGGTCTGACCCCAGGTCAAATGCCATAGGCAAGTAAACAACCAGGCAGAGACCCCCAAAGGGAATGCTATTGGTGGGCGAAAGTAAGTAACCCCAAATGGCATTTACACATTCAGAAGAGTTCATGCATTAATGTGAATTTAATGAGCACTAACAAAGGCAACTACCAGGACCAGATGTGATAGTGCCCTTCCTGCCTATGCAAAGTATGTTCATTCTCCCTCTTCTCTCCACCTGCCTCTTTCTAAGAGGCCCCCTTTATTATGTAGAGCTTGAAATCAACATGGGAGATTTAYGACGACAGTTGTGGTGTCATAAGAAAATCCAACTCATTAGAAAATTCAACTCATAGAAAATATGATATGAAAATTAAAAACTTGTTTCATAGTTTCTGAATGTAATATTATATTTACTGTAGGTGGGTGATTTTGTTGATCCAAATGCAGTCTAAAAGAAATGACCTCATTTATTTCCCCCCAAACCACATATTCATTTATTTAAAAAATATTCACAGACTTCCTTATAAGATCTCAAGTTCATTCCCATTCCTATCATCATGAATGCTGAAATGTATCAATTCAAAATTTAATACAAACTACCTGAAGAAAATATTATAATGCATACCTAAGTACCCATGTAAATATGTACAGCCTGAAAAGCAACCTCAAAAGCTCTGACAAGAACTGTGGAAGAAATATACCAGTTTTTAAAATGTGGAGGTATAAAGTACACAGGATTGAAATTAAGATATTGAAATTTTAAATGTAAATTTTCATTGAAATACAGTACCCCATATGCAGGCATATAGCTTGTGCAGCCAACCTCATTACTTTATTATCACACTATATACACACCAGAAAGAATATAGAACATCTTTAAGGAGAATTGTTATTTATTAATAATTAATATAACTCTGAAGTTGCATTTGTGATATTTAAAGTTGCACTTAAAATTTTGAAAAGGACACTGAGTTATTCAGAATTTTCAACAAATAAACCTTTAAAGCATTGGCACATATTTGTCTTTACTCATATATAAAGATAATCAATGCTATCTACCCATATTATCCTGCTTGGAAAGTCCCACAGAAAATATCCACTTTGACATGCTGCATCATCCTGATCCAGGGATCTAACACAAAGCACAGTGAGGAACTAGCTGGAAGAAAGTTTCTTCTTCTGAAACAGTTTTCAAAAGGCCACTCATCTGCTGGAAAGTGGACCCATTGCTGAGCCTTCTGGAGACATCTCTTTACATTGAATGGATTCAGCAGCGGTGCCTGGACACTTACGAAGTGCAGGGTAGTACCACAAGTCCAAAAGCTCATAAGTCCAGTGTTATGGGTTGAACTGTATCCCTCAAAATTCATATGTCAAAGTCTTAACCCATAGTGTCTTAGAATGTGACGTTATTTAAAATGAGGTCAGACTGGAGCAGGATGGGCACCTAGTCCAATATAACTGGTGTCTATAAACAAGGAAAATTTGGATGCAAATGCACACCAGGGAGAACACTGTGAAGACAAAGGCAAAAAAAAAAAAACAATGCAATGCTTCTACAAGTCAAGGAGTAACGCCAACAGAGGCTAAGGGACAGTCCAGAACAGGTTCTTCCTCAGTCTCAGAAGGAACCAAACCCATGGACATGGACCTATAGCCTCCAGAAATGAGGAACATTACATTTCTGTTGCTGAAAACACCAGTTTGTGGTTCCCTGTTACAGTAGACCTAGGAAACTGCTAAAGCTAATAAAGTGCATTGCCTTCTGCAATGGTCCAATCTAGTAGGAAGGACGCAGAAGATATATAGTGATATTTAAGGCAGCGAGTGTGTCATGCAAATAATCTAATTTATGTATCAGAACTTGGCACCTTTAGACCAAGACAAGCAGGTTGTGGTGTAAGGGGGGAATTCTGGAGGCTCTTTGAGGTGGACATGCTTGGCCTCATCATGGTCACTCTTCCACCTTAGGAGATGAGCAAATGTGGATTTCAATTGGAAAATGAGGTTTCACATCCTTGGGAACTATCCATAATGGATTATTTTGTTAATCAGGGATATATATGGTACATATAATTTTTGTTTGCACTTTCACTTTGGAATCCACTGATCTGAGACACAACTAATAATGCTGAATATGAAGAATTAATTTCCCTGACCAGAAGGATTCTCCACTTGGGTGAAAGTAGCACTTCAAGGGAAGTAACTGATCTGGGTGCCAGGTTGGAGTCTGTCACTTGCTAGCTCTTTGGGTTGACCCAATATATACAAACTCTCGGAGTTTCTGTTTCCTTATCTACTGAATCGGGATAAAAGTCCTTTCTTAAAACACAATGTTGTTGTAAAAATTACCAAATAAAATAGTTGATGTGAAAATGCTTTTTAAACCACTACGTTGGTTGGGCATGTATAAGCAAAAATCTTCAAGTAAAAGTTACCTTAGCTTGTATGTCAACAAATATTGATTGAGCACTTGTTACATGCCAGTAGCTGGGCATGTGCCGCTGGAACCAAATAGACAAAAAGCTTCTGTGCTCAGAGAGTTTCTGTTCAAGTTAAGAGAGAAACTGCAAGCAAGAAAATAAAGCAAAGTGTGTACTGTGTCAGGCAAGTTCTATAAGGGAAACAGAAAGTGGGAAAGGGGGATTATAAGCATCTGCTCAAGGGAGGAAGTCTCAATGTAAAACAGTCACCTGCAAAGGTCTCCCTGAGGTGACACTTGAGAGAGAGTGAGTTGTGGGTAAGGTGAGTTGGGGGAAGTAGGACAGCAACAATCAGATTCTTTCTTCTCAGTCCAGGGAACCAAGGATCAAGGTCAAATTCAGTTATTCTCAGTTCTATCGCTGTGCTTTTAGGAGGGCCATCTAGTTTATGCATTTGCATCTTCCAGTTCTCAAAACTGAAGACAATTTTATTAAAAGGCTTTGGATTAGTCATCTTTAAATACTATCAAGTTCTCATCTTCCCAGATATAAAGGTTTTTATTTATTTTAGCATTCATTCTTAAAAGAGTAAAAAAAAAAATCCATCATGACAGAAAGGCGCTAAGAACTTATTGGGAAAATATTATCTTATGAAGGACTTGGCTGTGAAAAGGGGAGGTTTGTGACACAATGTGTTAGTTTATGCAAAGAGACACACACTCAAGAAAATAGTGAGTTATCTGATTTCTTAAATAGAAAAATCCGTCTCCAGAGAGTATGTTTTCCATCTATTTTTTTAAGCACAAAACTATTTACTGTGTTTATGTGAAAAATCATATAATATACTGTAAATAACAGGGAAACTTTTTAAAAAGTACCTATCTTTTTAAAGTGGTTAGAAGCCAGTGTGCATATTAATTTTTAGTGGCTACAGGATTCTTTGTCTATCAGCCCCTTAAGGATGTAAAATAAGTGTTTCAGTGGATTTGTTAAGGAAATAAAACATAAGAGACTGGTTTGTTTCTCTGCATACTGATATGTTTGCCTTGCTCAGCAAAGAGAGTATATTTTTCTTTAAGACTCTGGTTTCCTTTCTGGTGCAATTGGAATTACTTCTGTTGAAACCATTTTCAAAACAGTTAAATAACTTTAAAGAAAAGGATTTATGTAGACCCTCTACAGACTACTGATATATGAGTTGTGCCACTAGTTCATACCCGGTTACATTTCCTCTGAGATTGGAGGGGGGAAAAAACTTACCACCCATGTATGGTTTCCTGTATCCAGGTTCACACAAGAAATTAAACTAGTGGCAGAAGTTAATTACCTGTCAGTCCAAGGAGCTAATTTCAAACAATGGCATCTTTTAGACACATTATTTTATTTAGCACCCATATTCTGCCATCTCCAGTTGCTACATTCATTTCCCCTATTTAGAAAAATCTTTGGAAACCACTGTCGACCTTCCTAACACTTTCTGAAGGTCTAAGAAAGAATAATTGCACATTATGCAGCAATCACACATAACTCACTTAGCACAAGTTCTGACCCTTTGCCTGAGCTCCAGAAAGGAGAGTAGTTTCCTCTACTAGCCCATGGTTCAGATAAATCTAATGTAGCCAATTTTAATATGACACAGTCCTCTGTTGACTTGCTCTGATGGCCTTATGAATTTGAGATATTTAAAAGTGAATATAGTGGAACATTTGCCATTGTTTGGCAATACAGTGTCAAAATCCCTTTCAGTCCTGGGGACATGCTGGATCTTATTTCCCTCCCGTTGATTCCAAGGGGAGACATTTTCTTGCTATCTCCTGGTGACCAGGACCCAGATAGTATCTGGGCAATCAGCCTGGATGCTCCCAACTCATGTTTTGTCTTTGGACTTTGGGAGACAAAAGAGAGAGGATGGTTAGGTGGGGCAACATGGGGTAGAAACAGTGATGCCCAACATCCTGGCCAGATTCTTCCCCAGGTCCTGTATCTGAGTTCCCTTGGTCCCTGCCCTTTTTCAAGCCACTCCTTCTGCCTCCTGTTGATTCTGTAAGTACTAGATTTCCTTCCAATAAATTCCAAGAGAGGCGGTGTCAGCACCAGATTTCCTTCCAGTAAATCCCACTGGGGTTGGTGCCTG